AATCCTAATCTTTGTTCTGTTACTTTTATTATTTGTACATCTTGTTTTGTATAGCTTAGAAGACGATTGCTTCGCAGATGCAAGATCTCGTGTTATAATAGACTTGATATCAGGATTATTCATAAATTCCTAAATTGAGCTACGGCTAAGATGTGAACGCTATTAACATTTTGTTAAGTAGAGTTTTGAAAAGTGCTTTTGAAATTTAGGCATCTCAGCCCTATTCTATTCTTTTTATCCTCTATTTCTACTTATCTTTAATATTCCTCCATTTCTATTCTCGTAACCTACGATGGATTTTTCCTTCGTGTTTTCACGGAATTTCGTAGAAGCTCCACATGATAGAATATTCATTTTCATTGCGCATTCTAAGTTCGGAGCTATGTCATATTCAAGCTCCCTTATCAGGTACATGCACGGAATCTAATCTCGAACAATAAAAAAGTTCAATTATTAGACAAAGTACAGAAAATTATGCAGTACCGTGACTTTTGAAGGATTTCTCATACAAGTGCAATGATGGACTGGTGAAAGATTAATGTTGTCGCGAAATCTCATTGTTTTCGTTGATGTCGCACAATGCGAACAGGCTTTATAAGTAACAGAACATAAAACAAGCAAAATGCGACTTTTCGTACATAAACTGTAAGAAGAGAGAAATTATAAGTAACTTATGCAGCTACTATCTTCTACAGGAAAATTATTTGATATGAGAAGGTTTATTGGTAGCATGTCTTAGCCTATAATCTTGGTGAATCTTCTCACACACAAATCTATTCGTAAAATGATTAGAAATAAATGTATCCGGTGAACTGCAAAGAAAAATAGCCAAAATATTTACCAAAACTTTCTTCAATGATTTAATTTTGCAGGCTGCCAGCCAGGAGTTGGCGAACGAGCACAAAGCGACTCGTGTTTTGGCTGTGGTGTTCATCTGTTTCTTCATCTGTTGGACGCCGTTCTTCGTTGCAAACTTCATCGTCGGTTTTTGCGGTACACTCTGCTCAGTGCCGCCATGGCT